ACTGCGCCTCTATACGTCAGACTAAATATGTCCAATATTTTATCTCATAATCTAACTTGGACAGCTGTTCATTGTCAATCTGGGCTTTTCTTTCAAAGTTCACTTAAGCGGAAAAGGGGCTGTAGTTCCGTTGTATTTCTTTTAACATCTTGGACTTATTGTGGTGAACTGCTGTTGTCAGGTAACATTGTTTTGTTGTGTTTCCAGTCTTTCTGGAACCATGGATTAAAAAAATCATATTACTCTTACTTGTCATTGATTATAAATGGTAGAGGGGAGAACAAGATGTTCGTGAGATGTTCTGCAGTTCACCAGTTTTCCCCCTGTGCATGATGCATAGATCTCCATGCCAAAGGAACAGGAGGAAACGGGAGCTCAAAGCAAGCTTGATTATTGAAAAGAAGCAGATTGGCATGTTGTAGGAGTGCGTCAAAGATGGAGCAGACTTGTAAATGATTTGTTCAATTCCTCTGTGTGTATGCAAAATATAGAGAGATGGAGGCAGACGGAGTGAAAAGAGACACTGTCCACCTGCCAGAATGAGAGCCAAAGTGTTTGCCGTTGTGTGTTGGTGTGAGAGATGGATGAAGGCAGACAGAAAAAATAAGTGCAACAGTTAGTCTACTGTTTTAAAATGTTTATTTGTGAGTGAGAGAGACAGAGAAGCAGAAAGAGAGAGAAGAGAAAAGTCAACCAACTCTAAGGATGAGAGTGTCTGCTTTGTGTGCTTGTCTCCATGCATTTGTGTGTGTGTGTGGTGTGTGTGTGTGTGTGTGGTGAGAGAGAGAGAGAGAGAAAGGTAGCAGGGCTGAGTGGGAGCTTGGCAGTGTAGCCCTGCTCTCTGTGTCTGGCTTATCAGAGAAGGAATTTGAAGTAGAGGACTTGAGGAGTCCCCTGAGACCTCACCCATGCTCCCAGATTAGCTGCTAAACTGCACATAATTGTGCTTCCCTTCGTCTCCTAGAGAGCTATTAGTCTCCCCTTTATACCCCCCCCCAACCCAACCCCTGCACCCACCGCCACCTTGCCCAGACCATACCAGACTAACTGAAAACACAGGCATGCTGATGCACACCATGCAACGCACCTTTATTTAGTATCCAGTCAAAGATTTTGTCCACACCATCGTTCCTGTCGCCAGATTGTTCAAGTGTTTTTGTCATGCCCACGCCTTCTCCATATTTTTAATTTTAACAAGTAAGTTTATTGCAGCTTGGTCATGAACCACCTCTTGCTATTCAAATCCAGAGCAAATGATAACCAACTCCCTCACAGCTACAAACACCGCTCTCCATAAAATATGTGTACTACTTGTGTCAAAAGTACCAAGTTCGTTTAGCTATTTGAGCCTCAGCTGGTATGGGGCCCAATTGACCAGCAAGGTCATTTATCCTTCCTCCCCAAGGTTAAGACACCATTGATGTTGCTAACTCATTACCCCTTTTTAATGCGTCCAAGAAGTTCCAATCTGGACTAATACGATCACATGCAGCTAGAACCACAGGGAGCCATGCTACTGTAAGTTTCATTTTGGATAAGCAACTGCACTTTAGTCCAGCTTGAAATGATGGATGGGTGTGCAATGCATGTTGGGACAACCTGCGGGGCCAAACTCAGGCGTTAGGCGCGCTCTTGGTCATGGGCAAAGATGGCGTATGGCCAGTTGTGCCGCTGAAATCACCCATGGGCTGGCGCCCACTGCTGCCCCTGCCTGTACCTCCTGTTCTTGTGGCTCCAGTTCTTTTTGGAAAATCTTCACATAAACACATGCACACGCACACACACACACACACACACACACACACACACACTTGCCCGTGCACAAAGACACTCCACTGGGCTTTCCCCTGATCTGTTGAACTTGGCGTCTGACTCAGGAACTTGCTATTGAAAAAGCTGGCCCGAGTTTTATGCATTTGACCTTGGTGGTGAGAAGTATTGTAAAGGTTATCAACATGGAAGGGGAAGACCAGCCCCTATTGTTTCCCCTGTGTGCTATTACACCTACAGTCTCAAGCACACACTTGCTTTAACAAGCAATTAACTGTGTTAATGAAGGTTACATTTCACTGCTAATTGATTTCCATTTTATGTGAATGTCAATTGCAAGACCGGTGCTTTTACCATTTGAATGGGAGTCTATTTAGCTGTAACTAACACACAGATAGGTAATAGATTTTTTGTTCTTGTGTAGCAGTATCAACAGTTTTTATTGGACGCTTGATTCTGCATCCTTAGGAACATCCAACATACAGGTGTTAGTAAATACCTGAATGCAAACCAGCACTTAATTGTTTCTTTGTTCGCAGAGATTTTGTGCAAATTATTATATTATAGTATTTTTATTTGCATACACTAAAAACCAGTGAACACAATTAAATGTCCTCCATGAACAATGTATATTGTCTCAGTTGATGAAGATGAGCTTGGTTGACTACATCCAGGACATTAAAACAAGGAATTGACTACTTATGAGGACTTTTTCAAAAAAAGCTACTTAAATTTATTAATTTAAAAGATTTTATAGGATAATATACAAAAGTATATACTTTTAAAGAATGCTGAAACTGATGTCAAAACTATATCATTAAAAAGTTCAATGTTATATTATTCATAAATCAAAAGTGTGTAAAAGTGTATTTCACTGGGTACTAAATATTTCAGGGAGCAGAATTGTGTGATGGCTAAACAAATGTGTGTATGTTTGTGTGTGTGTATGTGCAGAGGAGCAGATGTACCGCTGTGAAGACTGTGATGAGCTGTTCTCCTCCACACTTGAGCTGCGGCGGCACCAGAAGTATTCATGCTCCAGTACCGGCTCCATCTTTGACACACTGAGAGAAGACTTCAAACAGGAACGTGAGGACAGCGACGAGCCTGTCCATGAGTGTAAAGACTGTGAGAAGATCTTCCCAAATGAGTACAGGTACACAGACACATGATAACACTTTAGTACTTTAGTATACACATTCACCACATAGTGTACGGTCCACTTATCCAATTCACTGATGAGCTTGTGCTCTCCTTATCAAGTCTGGGCCAACACATGATAGTCCATACAGAGGAGAGGGAGTACAAGTGTGACCAGTGCCCCAAAGCCTTCAACTGGAAGTCCAACCTCATCCGTCACCAGATGTCACATGACAGTGGCAAGCGCTTTGAGTGTGAAAACTGTGATAAGGTACAGCATACGCGGCACGTAAGTTGTGCACTGGACACACAGGCTTTATCTGCTTCAGAAATTCTGCTGGTTTTGTTTTTAGACTTTACTCAATGGTTGTTCATTTAGTAATTCTGAAAGAACAACATACCTAATATAGACAAGAAATAAAGACTACATATTTTCATTAACAGTTGCATTGTTTATTATTGAGTCCATTAATTTTTTTATACACTTACTTCACATTTCAGGTGTTCACAGATCCCAGCAACCTTCAGCGCCACATCCGCTCGCAGCATGTGGGGGCACGCGCTCATACGTGTCCTGAGTGTGGCAAGACCTTTGCCACCTCGTCAGGCCTCAAGCAGCATAAGCACATCCACAGCAGTGTCAAACCCTTTATCTGTAAGTGAGAGCTTTGGTAGTTAATGACCACTTTATTCCTAACACTCATTTTTTTTATACATCTTTTCTTTTCACCATATCTTTTTCTTCTGAACCAATGTTGATCCACTTCATATCTTCTAAACCAAGCACACAGGTCCAGGGATCAAATTGCTAATAATTTGATTACGTACCGTAAAAAACAGATCTGACCTGTTCATTTACGCTTTATATTAGTTTGGACTATTTCAGAATAATGAAAAAAATGCAAAGATAATTTCGATACATCAATTTAAATTGTGGATCAGAGACCAATTTTTTGCTATGTTAATATGCATATGTTAATAGGTAATTATTTGGTAGTTGAATACATACACTGTAGATACAATAAATCTGGAACTATTTTAGAACAGTTTCAATTTGAGCGGTTGGTTTCATTCATAGAAAACAGTCCCTTCCTTTTCTACAGCTATTTCATCAGTAGTTCCCATTCAAATATATGTGTTGCTGTTGATTTGGTATACAAAGTTAGAGACAGTGTTAAAATGGGTTTAACCAGGCCCTGATGGGCTACGTCTTTTTGCTCCCCCAGGCGAGGTGTGCCACAAATCCTACACCCAGTTCTCCAACCTCTGCCGCCACAAGCGTATGCATGCTGACTGCCGCACGCAGATCAAGTGTAAGGACTGTGGGCAGTTGTTCAGCACTACCTCCTCCCTCAACAAGCATCGCCGCTTCTGTGAGGGCAAAAACCATTATGGTTCTCCAGCAGGGATGTTCAACCCTGGCATCCCCATGAGCTCCAGCCCCATCATGCCCAAGGCCAAGTCCCACCATCCCCACCTAGCAGGTCTAAACCAGTCAGGTTTAGGCTTCACTGACTACTTTCCCTCCCGACCTCACCCCCATGCTGGCTTGCCCTTTTCCCCAGGACCCCATGGCTTCCCATCCCTCCCACATGGTTTCCCAGGTATCTTTCCCCCTTCACTGTATCCGCGACCACCTTTATTGCCAGCCAGTTCATTGATAAAGAGCCCACTGGGCGGCAGCAGTCAAGAGGTAAAGCTGCCTCGGAGTGCCCTAGATGCTCCCCCGCTGTCCCTTGTTAGCTCCACAAACAGCAATGGAGGCAACACTTTCAGTCAGCTGGAAGACAAAGAGAAAGAGAACAAACTGGATTTGTCTTCTAGTGGAGAAGCCAAGCCAAAATCTAAGATGGTAGACATGTCTGACGGTAGTGACCTTGAAGACGTTAATACCACAAGTGGAACAGATTTGGACACCACTACTGGTACTGCATCAGGTGATGGTTCTGACCTGGAGAGTGATGGAGACAGTGAACGTGAGCGAAGTGGTAAAAGAAGGAAGCCATCTGGGACTGTATCAAGTCAAGAAGGCCACCAGTTAGAAGACACGAACAGTGCGTTGCTATCAGCCGTGTCTAGTTCAGGGAACCTCACTATTGATCGTCCCTTTCTCTCGTCTGCATCATCCCACTCCTTCTTCCCTCCTCCTGATGAGCAAGCCCTCCCGCCCACCTCCACAAATGCCAATGCAGCCAGCACAGATTCCATCAAAGCCATTGCCTCTATTGCTGAGAAATATTTTGGTCCTGGATTCATTGGTCTTCATCAGGAAAAGAAGATGGGTCCATTGCCCTACCATTCCATGTTTCCTTTCCAGTTCCTGCCCAACTTCCACAACTCCCTCTATCCCTTCAGCGCAGATCGAGGTGCCCTCAACCCTAGCATGTTCTTTAAAGCAGAGCCCAAGTCACCTCGTGAGCAACTGCACAAGATGGTTTCTGGTGCCCCAGGAGCTCCTGCTTCCACAGCAGAGTCACCATTTGATCTCACTACAAAGCCCAAGGAGACCAAGTTAGCTCCTCCTACACCAACAAACCCCTCAAATCCCAACAGTAGTACTGGGAGCAGTAGTGGACCTTTAGCAATATCTAGCAGTGAAGAACAGCCATTGGACCTCAGCATTGGCAGTCGGAGCCGAGGTGGTCATAATGGTGTGGCAGTTGAGCCACAGAACAGAAAGAACCACATCTTTGGAGTTGGAAAGGGGGTCTCCATCAAGGATGAAACCCATGCTGGGTTTCCACACCCCCATTCCCAGTTATTGCACCAATCCTCAATTGCCCAGCACCAGCAGACTCAGGCACAGCCACACCAGCCACCACCACTGCACTACGCCAAGCCCTCAGCATTCTTCATGGACCCCATATACAGGTATTTCAGCCCCGATTAGACCAGAAACTGCTGTTTCCACATGAGCAACATCAATACTTTTATATTCACACATTTAAAAAGGTAGAAGTTGGTGTTTAGAGTGTGGTTGGAGGTTGTAGTTTAACTCTGACCTTGGTACGTAACCCTCTGCCTTGTTGTTGGTCCAGCAGGGTGGAGAAGAGGAAGCTACTCGACCCTGTAGGAGCTCTGAAGGAGAAGTTCCTCAGGCCCTCGCCACCACTCTTCCATCCACAGGTAGGCTTACAGCACACACACATACACTTTCAAATCTAGGAAGGCACTTGGTATAATGTTAGGCAGAAACAATAAATTGTACTTGTTCTTTGAACAAAAACTACATCAAGGGAACACTAAACAGGGGAATTGACCTCCAGGTATTAGATACAGGCTGATTATTCCCAGATGCTATCGACTATTATTTTCAAACCATGTATTATGTGAAAATACCTCACTCCTGCCTCCCACGCTGCTTCAACCTGAATTGATAGGGCCCTATGCACCATCATTCCACAGTGTTGATGTTATTTTCTCAAGGGTTCTGTATGATTTCTTCCTTTGTTTACTGAATGGCGCCTGTGTGCCTCGTCACTTCTACCTTTTTCAGAAGACACAGCCTGTTATCGCAGCCCCTTTGATAATCAGTCGCATTGTTTGACTGTCCCCAGACCCTCCCTACCTCTACAAATCTTGATTACAAGGAATGATAGTATTAATAAAAGAGAGAATAATAACCGTTTGAATTGTAACAAACTGCCTCTCTTGGCCATGCTAATCTTAGTTGTGGCATTGTTTCTTGTACTGGGAGCCCACAGGCCAGCTAATAACTCAACCCCCTCCAAGTTTTTTTCTCTGTGGCTGGCTGGCTGGCTAGATAATAGCACCGTGTCCATCAAGGACATCCTGTGTTTGTCTCCAGGAGAATGGGGGGCTCTCGTTGGGGAAATGGTTTAATCTGACCTGGAAATCTGTGTCCTCTATCAACTGTGACTTTGCAATACACTCATTTGGTGCATATGCAGACAGATAAATTTACACACGCATATATGATATTACTCTGATATGTGTGTCTTTATTCCTTAACAAATGAGTGATTGTATCATTGAACATTGTATTCATCACTGGATGATAACAATATGACCTAAGCTACAATCTTCCCTTTGCTGCCTTTTTAAAGGCATCATATTGATATTGATCAGTATCGCCAGGATGAATAGTTTTCACAGGCTCCCATGTAGAAACTTCTCATCCAACAGTGTCTCAGCTGTGATACTCCCAGTGATCCAAACACAATGCCACCTCTAATTCAGTCTCATGACGGAATCCCCCTCTCCCCCTCCACCCGTTCTCAGACTGCGAATAAACACATTGAGACGGAGTGTCTGTCCCTGTGTCTCTCCCATCCCGTATTCAGTAAAAAAGGAAGGATGTAAGCTGTTTTTGGCAAATAAACTCCTACATAACCGGCCCCCTTTGTTCACAAGCTTCTCTGGGAGGGGAAGCGGCTATCAGTTGGGGGTATCTCAAACTATATTGTACAGCTCCAATCGGAGTGCTTGAATGCCTCATTTAGTCAGTTTGCCGGCCTGCAACAGTAGCTTCGGCAGAAGAAGGCAAGAGGTAGAGAACAAAGCGCTGGGTGAAGCTTGAGGTGAGGGTGTATGGAGGGGGGTACTGGGGGAATGGTACTTGAGCATTTGTGAATGTGTTATAGGTCATGGAGGTGACTCGCCTTTAGCACAAACAACAAGGCTAACTTCTGATATACTGCTTCCGCTCTCTGTCTCTTTCCCTTGCTCCCTGTTTTTTCTGACATTGTGTCTTTGTTTTCAATGCTTCCTTTTCTCTTTTAACACACACACACACACAAACCAGTTTCAATGGATTCTCTTAAGGTTTAATTAAAGAGCTGCTGCATTGAGCTTGTCTCTACAAGTTTTCTAAGTAAACCCTTAATACACGAGTCATATCAAAATCTGGTTGAATGTATGTGATCCACTTTAAAAAACTAAAAAACAGGATCTCCCTAATCTCATCAAAATACTTTAACTTACCTGTTCCCATTTGTGGTTTTCTACCACCTTGTCATCCTTCTCCCTCCCAGATGTCAGCCATGGAGAACATGACAGAGAAACTGGAGAGCTTTGGCGCTTTAAAACTGGACGCGCCGCCCAATTCACTGCAACACTCGGCTCATCCACTTTTCAACTTCCGCTCACCACCACCTTCCCTCTCAGACGCCATCCTCCGCAAGGGCAAGGAGCGTTATGCCTGCAGGTAAGTGCTTGTGGTGCAGCTTGTTATTTCCAGTGTTGATCAGATGTTCACACACAAAACTGTATTGTGTGACGTAAAATGTTTGCAATGACATGTTGACGTGTTTTATGTTACTCAACCATCCTTAATTTCTTTTAAGGTACTGTGGGAAAATCTTCCCTCGTTCGGCAAACCTCACCAGACACTTGCGGACACACACAGGGGAACAACCCTACAGGTATTCTATTAGTTCTAGTCTATAATCTTCATCAACGACTCTTTGCTCCCACAGATGCTGTCACTGATGTATTAACCTATAGTCTGCTTTTCTTAACGTTATTCTTTTTTGAGACTTTATTATTTTTGTGCGTGGCTGAATCAACAGGAGGGCTTGTTGTTTTCACTTTCAAGGAATTCATCTGCCATACCCGATCACTTTATTAAGTCAGTTGGGTATCAGCCAGACATGAGCGATCCATATTACTGTAAAAGAATGTCATTATGTCATTATAAAAATCGGTTACATTCTTTATGTCATGGCAGGCTGCTGACTCAGTTTTTAGAGCCACAGTTATTGCTACCTGGCCCAGTTCACATAACAATGATCACAATGAGTTCCACGCCCTGGTATAAATATTTTATTTGGGAAAAAAAGAGCACTGGGATCAGATTGGAAATTGGAAGTACCTCAACTCAGGCCAGCATCCCTGAGAATTTGATAATTATACAATCAATAAATGACAATTGGATTAAAAATGAAAGCTTATGACAACACAGCCACTATGTAGTTTAAATTATTAGAATCTTTATAACTGACTTATATTCTGACTTATAACTTAGCTTATATTCAATAGCTCATTTGCATTGTCTTCCCATTATTCTCTTTATTCTAATTACTGAAACATTGTCCTTGTAAAACTGACTAGAACCACTTTGCTTCTTCTTTGAAAAGGCCATGAATTTTTTGGACAAATAAGTTGAGATAAGTTTAGCCATAAAGAGTTTCTTGCTCACCTCAGCTGGTGGATAATAAAATCACCGCCATGGACTGTGGCCTGTATCTCAGATTGACGGGTCCCTGCTCAATATGCCACTTAAACAATAACCCACATTCACATTCCTCTGTTCTCCTTTGGCAGGTGTAAATACTGTGACCGCTCATTCAGCATCTCATCCAATCTTCAACGCCACGTTCGCAACATTCATAACAAGGAGAAACCGTTCAAGTGTCACCTGTGCAACCGCTGCTTTGGTCAGCAAACCAACCTCGACCGCCATCTCAAGAAGCACGAGCATGAGAACATTCCTGGTCAGTTTGCAACATCTATGACTCAGTTTTCTCTGAGAAAAGTGAGGCTGTGAGAACTGAAATGTAGTTATTAAACAGGGACTTGGTATTTTGTGTTATGTTAATGGACTGAATAATGAATAGCTCACATTACCCATTTGGAAAATTTTAAATCTTCACCTCAATAAATGCTAACCTTGGTGCTGCGAATGACTTGAAGTAGGAAAACCACTTAATTAAAGAATTCACACTTGCTTTTCCTACTACAATGCCAAAAACAACCTTTATATGTCCAACATGGAACTATACCACTGAATGTGGATGGAACACAGACTTTCTGAACTGAATGATTACGTATTAGAGCATTTGCATCCAAGTGATCCAAGCTTCACCATGTGCTGACATTTTTAAATTTATAATGACACCCTATTGAAACAAGGCAATACACTTGGTTTCCATCTCATGCAAATTATTCCCATTGGAGCTGTAAATTCCTGTGACATCACCAACATATAATCAGTTTCTAAAATACCCAGGGATGCCATTTTTGAGGATGTGAGTTTGTTCATAAGAGGCATTTCATTAACTAAATTAATTAAAGTGTCTTGTGGCAGAGTGGCCAGATGTTTGGTTTCGGGTTGTATTCTTCTTCAAAGAAAACACTGACTGGCTCCCGCTGCCAAAACAGTATATTTGGAGTATATTATCCTTTATTCAAAATGTGACATGCACTGCCGCACTGTCCTTAACTTAAACACAAACATGGCTATTCTTATATTCTATAAATTACACCATCCCTTCCCCTTAAATACCACTGTGATTCATCCAAGAACAATGTTATACAATCATTAAGAAAGAGAGCAGAATTACAACAACATGAAGGGAAAATATTTTTCTGAATCTATAAATGCAACCTAAATACAAAGTCTAAAGTAAGGTTCGAGTTTGACTACACACTGGCAAACATTAGAAGACTGTGGTGGAACCGGGCACCTCCTGTGTGTGAGTGTGCCTGAATGTTCAGTTAAGGAGCATGTTTGATCAGCTCCGACTACTGCAGGGAGAGAGGGATGGGTCAGTGTTGTCACATTAGCAGTAATAACTAGTACAGTTTAGTTCAGTTCTTCTGGGAGATTGTCACATCCTCCTCTAAAAATGTCAGTGCTTGAGAATGATGAAAAAGAAACAAATTATGGACTATCCCCGTTGCTTAAGATTTAAGAAACAAGACAAAAAACTGATAAAATAATGTGTAAATAAAATGTTTAAAATCTGAAACCGCAAAATTAACTACATAAATGCATGTATGTAACTGTCGTATTCCCCTTTCATACCTTTCAGAAGAGGGTTATGTAAAGCATGCTGGAAAGTGTATATATAAAAGACTTTCTGTCAAAAATGTAAGTCAAAAGGCTGATTTTCTGTCTTTTGTCACGGTTTATCTTCTACACACATTATCCTGTTTGTCAAAGTTTAACAAAACAAATGCAAAATATCAGCTTTTTTAATATAATATTAAAATGTGAGGTCATGTGATTATAATGTGAATAATAAGATAATAATATTTGGTATTTTCCTTAAACTCATCTATTATGTACTGTTTGTCTGATGATCATCAAACTAATCATGCTTGTGCATTTGGTGTGTGTGTGGCTGGTGTGCATGTCTGTTTGTGTTCATGCGTGTGGATATGTATGTCTGCACGCTTTCCCCAACAGTGAGCCAACAGTCCGGGATGCTTTCCAACCTAGGAACCACCATCTCCTCCCCAAACTCCGAGCCAGACAATCATGCACTTTTAGATGAGAAGGAGGACTCGTACTTCTCAGAAATTCGCAACTTCATTTCCAACAGTGAGATGAACCAGGCCTCCAGCTCCACGGATAAGAGGTAACAAGAAAATTAGCTTGCACGGAGCATATTTGTATTAAGATTTTTGCAAAGACCTTCAGTGATTACATTTAATCCATGAGCCTAACCTTCTACTTCATGCCAAGCTCTAATTCTTACCCCAACCCCATCCTTAATCCGTCTGTAATGCTAACTCTAAAGCAAAAGAAACTGGTAAAACGTCCTCACTTTGAAGACATGTTTTACACCTCTCCTCTTATTGGAGCATGCAGTCCTGACAGCTAAAGAAGAGCAGGAATAAACCCACACATTCTGTTCAACTAAAAGCAACAGTTGTGCTCTTAAGGTCTTCTGCCTTCTCCCTGTACACAATATACTGTCCATGCTAGTACTTGGTGCACAGTGCTCTCTAGTGGCGTAAATGTGTATGGCAATAGTCACCAACATCAGAGCTGTTTCCAATTCCATACTAACAGTAGTTGCAGTTGGATTAACAGTTAATCTAATTGCAACTTTTAGAAGCTGCAGCTAATTAAATGTTATGTTAGATGCTTCTAATTGTCTTTCGTGCACTGCACTGTGGGACAATGGTGTATTTCAACAGCACACAAACGTTCAGGTAGATTTAGTATGCATCCTAATTTTTTAATCATAAATAAAATAATATTATTCATAACCTAGAATTCTTTCTAGTATAGAACTGGGACACATGCTTCATGAGTCCATCAAAGTTTTTCCAGTTTAACGTATTTCAGTGACGTCTAAACTTTTTTAAACCTCACGTTTTTTGTGAAGAAAAGCAATTCATACCTGCTGTGCGCTGCCGTGGTTGGTACATTACTCTGCTTACCAGTAACTCTGGCAGGGGTGATCACCCTGTGTGTGTTTTTTCCACACCATAACTTGCTTGAGATAAATAATGAAAATGGCTGGTTTATTTTTAAACCTAACAGCCACTCTGGCCAGTGGAAGAAAAGGTCAGCTCTCTGCTTTAAGTCAGGAAATGCTTTCAGTGTTAGTAGCTCAGTTGGTGGGAAGCTTCAGAGGTTTCATGCAAGAAGAGGGTATCGGAAACGAAAAGGAGGATGACATTTTTTTTTCTTTTTCAGTCACTGGTTTGCCTCTTTCTTTGACTTTATATACTCCTCATCTCTGTCTCTCATTCTCAACGTGAATTCCTTTCTGGTAGTCTCACTTTCTGTCTGTCTCTTCTTCCATCATCCCCCCTCCCTCTTGTCAACACGCATTATGGCCAGCAGACCCAGTGGCAATTTAGCCCCTCTGCCATCTGGGATCAATACTGAGTCTCATCCACAACAAGCTGGGTTGACGTTTTAATATCTGTAATTCAGACTAAGTATTATGCTTTCTGTCCTCCCACCAGACAGCCCACTGTTTATTCTCCCTCTGAGTGACTGAAGTCAAACGCTGAATGCAAACACACATTCACGGATGACTATCTGTAATCGCTCTTAACCGCCCTCGCAACATAGTTTCTCCCACTTTAAAAGTTATTTTTCAGCATCATAGCCAGTCAAAATAAAATTCCCTGGTAGCTCTCATTTTCACATGAAAACTTTGTTTGACCAGTTTCCAAGCTGGGGACGTCGTAGATGCTGAGGCAGCAGTGCTGCTCTGAGGGTGGGAAGTTTCAAACAAAAAAAGTTAGCGGGTTTAGATGTACACAGATATTTCCAGCACTGCAGTGTTGAAGGACTAAGAGGTATCTGTCTCCCCGGGACCGCAATCCAGGTCGTAATTAGGGCTGGAACAAGGACCCAGGCCACTACTTGAGCTCTTTGGTTTGGATAAAACTTCAGTTGGAGCTGGTTCCTTGTCTGGGACTGAGCTACAATGGTTGGCAGTTTGGACCCTGAGGGGGACTCAGGTTGAGGCATTTATCTAGGAGATCCACTGATGATGGAGCTCTTCCCCCATCCATACCCCCAGCCCGCTAACACAAACACCCCACTGACGTGTTTAGACTAAATGACAAAACCCAGGGCCCCCTATGTCAGAGCTTCGCTTCTTTCTCCGTACACAGGCATGGAGTTTTTCCCCGCCAACTAGCTCTGCAATTTGATTATGGTGATATTTAATCTAGATTGAAAGAGGAGAACTCTTTTTCCCCCCAAAAGTCCCTCTACCCGCATTTACCCACCCACTGTGTGTGACCCAATCCTGTCCCTGTGCACCCCTTCCCAGAGGTAATCCTGTCTGATTTGATAAATGTTCACTGTGTGGCAAAAAATGGAAAGGGTAAATTTGCCGTCCCAGAGGAAATGATATCATGAGCCATGACATCGTGGTCTGAGGGTGATGGAGGGGGGAGTTCGGGTGCTGGCTGGAAAATGTACAGATGGCAGGTCGTAATGGTGGTGTGCTGATAGCCTGTTTGCAGATCAGCCATCGTCTTCCTTCAGTCACACAAAGTATGTTCCACCATTACAGGGTGTAGGGGAACCAGTCTGAGGCGGGCCATCTCCTGCTCTGTGTCTGAAGAGCTGGCCAATTAATCATGTGTGGGCCGTTTGAAAGCGCTCTGGGCAGACTGTCAGCGCCCATGTTGTTTGTGTGGACGCTGGAGTTGGACTCTGCATACTTGTCAACAGATTATTTATTTCTCTCTCTGCTTGTGATGAATCATGTCTTTTAGATGGTCAGGAAATGGTAACAGCCACCCAGCTCTAGACTGGACACACCACTCAGAGAAGAAACTAAAATAAGTAATTTTGTCATTGTTGCAACAATAAAAAGAGCACTAAGCCAGTTAAATTAGCAAATCAGGCAGAGGTACTCATGACAGACATTTTGTAAAGAAATATTTATATAATCAATGCAGTAGAACAAGAGATATGCTCCCTTTTTGTTCCTCTAAGCATATATCTCTGAAAAACTACTACATTACCCATGATTCAGATTTCCCTGACTCCCTGATTGGCTAGGGAGACTGCTCACACTCATATCCACTTCAGTTTGTTTTTCTCCTTCTAACAATTTTAGAACATTTTTTGCTTTGCTTTTATAACGATG